TTTCCCTCACTTCCATCTTTGTGGACAATAAATCAGTATGCACAGGTTCTGGGATGAGTACTTGGGCCCACATGGACCAGAGGTGGTTTATTCAATGTGTAAGAGAGAAGGGGAGAAAGGACACAGCTGAGCCCACAAAGAAAAAGGCCCAAGGGCTCTCCCGTGCTGCCAAGGAGCCTCTCTGAGCTCTGACCCCTCCAGCCCCTCCTTGTCCTCAGGGAGGGTTCTAGGGTCACTGGGCCTCATGGGATAGGCCCAGGGCAAGCAAGGATGAGAAACCAGCCTGGCACAAACCAGCTTGGCACAGTCCAGGGGTGAGAAGAGAGCCAAGGGCACTGACCCATGAGGCCCTACACGGCAATGGAGCCATCTCGGAAGTCCGTCCTCCCGATGAGGATGTTGACCACAACTGGGTGGCCATCTTGGCACTGCTGCTGGGCATCATGCAGCACCTTGACCACCTGATCCTCACTCTCTCGTGAAAGTAGCAAGCCCTGGGCTCCCAGTCCCATGGCCGCTTTGTGATAACCTAAAAGGGGAGATCAAGTCAGAATGATGGCAGAACCCAGCCTACCATGCAGCTAGCCCGGGAGAGGAACATACATTCAGCTGGGCCTGAAACAGCTTTCCCCCTTCCCACCCATTCCAGGCCCCTCACCAGTGTAAGCCAAGCCACAGGCCACATTGCTGCCCAGACAGGGCACCTGCTCCCGGGAAATCTGGGTCCAGCCAGCATCATTCCCTATCAAAGCCATCACTGGGATCTGCAGGGAGAGGATGAGGCCAGGCCACAGCCTTCAGTCCCAGGGCTTGGCCAGCCACAGGTCAAAGACAGGGACAGGACCCCTGCCAGCCAAGCAGCTCCCTCCCCAGCCCACCCCACCCCTGATGACATCTCCCAGAACCCCAGGCTATGAGCTTCCCTTGGTCACCCGGTCACCTTGTGTCTGACGAAGGTGTCAAATTCGATGAGGCTGTAGCCAAAGGCTCCATCCCCAAACAGGCACCAGACCTGAGGGGGTACCAAGGATGGCTGGGGTGGCTCACGGCCCAGAAAGCAGCAAGCCTCCTGCCCCCAGCACACTCTGACTCACCTCGGCATCCGGCTGACACAGTTTGGCGCCAAGTGCAAATCCCGCACCAACCCCCAGAGTACCGAAGGCCCCTAGAAGAACCAAGAGCGGGTGGGTGTGAAGGGGCCCCGACGACGCAAGCTGCCCCGACGATGCAAGCTGCCCCAGGCATAGGCCCGCCCTTACCAGGATCGAGCCAGCGCAGGGGGCCACGGGGCTGCACCAGGTGGGCGGCTGTACCCACGAAGTCCCCACCATCGACCACCAGAATGGAGTTGTCGGGCAGAGTTTCCTCCACCAGCTGTAGTACCCGCACCGGGTTAAGGTGCTCGGCTACAGGCATCGATGCCTTCTCCCTGTGATGGAGCAACGCAGGTCAGCAGAGCCAGCGGCGTGGGCCCCCGGGAACCCGCAACCCCCCAAGTCCACTCTACCCAGCCCCCACCTAAAGGTCTGCTCCTTCTGTCGGTCAGCCTGCCGAAGCTCCTCTGCCCAGTCTGAGGCCCATGTCTGGCCCTGAAGGCCCTGCGCCAGCTTCACCATGAAGGAGCCCACGTCTCCTGGGGAAGGAAGAGGGCACAGCTGCAGGGGGATGGCCTCCTCCTGCCCTTCAAGCACCAGAGGCCCAAAGACAGCAGGAAGCACAGGAGGCAAAGAAGCAGGCCGGGGGGGTCCTAGCACAAAATGGGTGAAACACACCCCAGAGCCTGCCGGAACCAAGTTAGGGCAACAGGGGTGTGAGGGAGAGCAAGGCCAAAGAAATTGGGTTTAGGGAGCACAAAGTGGGTTAGAAACTCACATCAGCCTCTGTCTCCTGCCTCCCCATCACACCCCAGATCAGGCAGTCCTGTCAATTCTGCCTCTGAAACACATCACTAAAACCGCCTCCATCCTCCAGGCACATCTCTACAACCCAGGCATGCAGAGTGCTTGTACGGTGAACAAATAAACAAGCCAGTGATGATGTACTTTTCCCCATCTCCATTTTAGAAATGATCACACAGGCTCAGCGAAGTTGAGTTTCTCCTCCCTCTCCATCCCCACTCCAGGCCTCATCGTTTCTGTCCTGCCCTAACAGCCCCCTTGCCTCCACCCGGTCCCCTCCAACTCGCTGCCCACCAGCTGCCACAGTGGATTTTCCCAAACATGAATGCAAATGGTGCCACTTCTCTGCTTGACACAAGTTCCCTCTCGCCTGCACCGCAGGGTAGAGTCAACGTCCTTGGAACGATGGGCAAAGCAGGGCCTGGAAAGGCCATGGAAGAGGACTGAACAGGGGTGGAGGAGCCACGACAGGACAAGAGAGACCTTGGGGCAGGTCCTAAGGGCAGCAGGCGACATGGGAGAGTACAGACGGGATGTGATCACACGCACATTGCCAGGCCTTCCCTCTGGTGCCCACCCTACCATTAGTTCATCCAGAAGCACCCCATCAGTCTAAGGACCAAATAGGTGTCTCTGGCCGACTCGGGGCCCCCTGAGGCACGGTCCAGGCCTTGGTCACCAGCACCCAGCTCAAGCCAGCTGCAGCAGAGGCCAGGGGGAGAGGGACCGGAAAGAACACATATGTGTGGGGGCTGCTAGGGGCTCACCCTGCACAGCCTCCTGGGGCTTCCAGAACATGTCTGAGTTCATCAACATCTCTTTCCGGTTACGGTTAACAATGATGATCTTGCTGCTGCGGCTGAGGACACGGCCATAGGATAGACGGAAGTCACACACCGTTCCTGGGGTAGGGGACAGAGTCTCGGTGGACAAAGGGCCAGCATCCTGGGGAGTACCCGCTACCTTACTTAATCCACCATGGTAGACTGAATGCATAAAGGTCTTCACCTCTCCCTGTACCAGTGTCACCTGCAATGAGACTTTGCAGCTCCCCACCCCATGAACCTGGGCTGGCCTCAGGACGTGCTTTGGCCCATAGAATGTGAGAGAAGTGATGGCATGCGTTCCTGAGGCCAGACCTCCAGAAGCCCTGCAGCTTCCACTCTCTCTCTCTCTCTCTCAAATAACCTTGCTCCCCAAGCCCTGCATGTTTCTCAACATCCACCAAGTGAACAAGCCCAGGCTAGCCTGCTGGAGGATGAGAAACATGGAGGAGGAGGTAGGGGAGAGTGAAAGAACTCAGTTACCCCAGCTGAGGCCAAGCTAGCCCAGCCTACAGCCAACCAACCCCCAAGTTACAAGCCAGCCCAGTCTGGATCAGCACAGCTGCCTTCCCGCCTCTCTGAGTGCAGACTCAGGAATGAGCCCTACCAAAATGACAAAAACTAGCACCTAACCCCAGGTGGGTCTTGAGAAATGATAAGTGCATTTTAAGCCACTGAGTTTACGGTGGTTATTATACAACAATAGCTAACTGATACAACTATTATGTCTCTGGCAGGATTCAAGCACTTTATGTAAAAATATATATGCTGTAGGTGTACGTGCTGTGTAAATGCTGTGTAATGCATACAAATGCAAATGCTGTACACAAAGTACCACAGGTGCCCGCTATCTTTGTGTAAAGCTGGGTCACAGGACACAACTGCAACCTGGCGAGGGTTTACCTGAATTTCAGGTCCAGGGGAAGGGGGGTGGTGAGAGGTAGGAGGGTGGGTGATTATGAGAGTGGGGTGCCAGCCAGTACCTGACTAGGAGGGGCAGGGTTACACGATTAGGGAGGTGCCTAGTGGGAGGGAAAGGAAAGGGAGGGTGGGAGGATGAGGCCCACCTGCCAGGACGACAACATCTGCCTTCTTCAGGGCGGCGCTGCGGTTCTGCCGGATGTGAAGGGGGTGGCTCCGGCCCAGCAGTCCCCGCGCCATCCCGCCCAGGAAGCAGGGGACACCCAGGGTCTCCACAGCAACCCTAGGGGTCCAGGCAGAACAGAGGTGAGCGTGGCCAATGGCCTGCCCCTCCTCACAGGGCCCCAGGGGACCAGGGATGTGACAGTAAGGGCAAGCCTGAGGCTTCTCACCGAAGTTTGTCTGAGGGTGTCGGAGGCAACAGGGCCTGGCTCCCAAGCAGCACAAGGGGCCTTTTGGCCCGGCTCAGGATCTCAACACAGTGCTGAACCTGGGGCAAGAGGTGGGGCTCAAATAGCCAACCCTGAGTCACCATCAGCCCCCAAGATCACAGCCCCAGTACTGGTTCAGAGAGAAGCCACACAGCAGGTGGGGGTCCCTGGCCAGGGCACAGAGGCAATTCACCTGCTGAGGGGAAGCCTGAGGGATGTCCAGAGGCAGAGGCCCCTCAGGCTGAGGCTCCCAGGCTCCTGCAAAGAGGTTGGCCAGGTAATTCTCTAAGTACCTGCGAAGGGAGGAGGAAGAGTCAGTTACCAGGAGTCATACCAGGGTTCCAGAAGCTGAAGGAGGAAAAGGGCCGGGAAAGGGACCAGGAAGGCAGTAGGACAGGAACAGAGGTACGAAAGCAACAGCCCAGGGACAGACAGACCCCAGTGGCTGAGCGCCCAGTGGCCTGTTTCCCCTCAGAAGGTTCTGGTGACCATCCCAACCTGACACAGACCCTCAAAAACAAGTGCCACCGGCATGGAGTGCTAGAATCAGGGGCCATGGCTGCGGGGTCAGACAGAGGTGGGCTTGGGTTCTGGCTCTGCTGCTTCCTGTGTGACTGTGGGTGAGTGACTCAACTTTTCTGAGCTTCCTCCTCTGTAAAACGTAAAAGGGAACATCTCTCCCAAGGTTCAGTGATATAAAGCACATTGCAAAACACTTGATTAATTGGAGTTATTAACAATCGTCCATA